CACACACACACACACACACACACACACACACACACACACANAAAATCAAACACACACACAAAAAATGTCCAGACACAGCACATCAAGAGAAAAAATATAATCCACTGAGAATAAAAATTTTATCACACACACACACACACACACACACACACACACACACACACACACACACACACACACACACACACACACACACACACACAAGTGAAATCTTGTAAGGCTCCTATACGTATATTCATTCTCCTAAGTCTCGTGTCTATAAAATAGGGTGATTTTTCTTCCGACAGGGAAAACTGCCGGCGTATTTTTAGTGGAGGGAGTTGAACACACCCAGATCAGAAATTCTAAAAATCGCATCACCCGAGCGCATGTAGAATGCATCGGAACGTAAACAACCTTTTCCCAATCAAGAGAAGGGGTGGGTAGTGGTGGAGCGCTACACATTTAATCGGTGACGTCAATAGAAAAAGGGGGCGATAAGTGGTGGACGTGACAGCTCTATATTGAAACAAAATTAGGTCAACACACAGGCCTTAACTGTCAGGTTTGCAGATTCGCTCTTGGTATTTAAAAAAAAATTCATACCTGCACTTCCTTGCACGTCAATCAACGATGCCGTCACACATATCAAGGAAATACAGTTGACCAGCAGACCAGTGGGGCAGATGAGTGCCCACAATCCAAGGAGATTGGGCTGACCTTCGACCATGAGAATGAAGGACGTGCCAACTGGAAAAGAAAATGTAGATGCTATCCGTTTTGGATCCCCTTGCAAACTTAACATCAGATGACCTTTAGCGCCTTTAGCACAGACCAGCGTACCTGCCCTACGGAGATGCTCGTCACGACGCAGAGGACGACTTACCCACAAACAGGTTCACCATGAGTCACGACGCAAAGGACGACTTACCCACAAACAGGTTCACCATGATGTAGATGATGACCGCCGTGACCACGTTTTTGAAGATCTTGTAGAAGACGTACAGGTGCGGCACCAGCGCCAGGCCGTACAGGAACAACGTGCACCCGGTGAGCCAGTATCGGCCCTGGCTGATCAGCAGGTAGGGCTGGATGACGTTGAAGACGATGATGAGGATCATGACGGCCAGGTACAGGCCGTAGTCGATCAGGCAGTTGGCCACCCAGTAGGCGATGGGCCAGATCCCTGTCATGGACTGAAGGGTTCTTATACCGGACTGAAAGGACACACGGTTTTATTTTTATTTTATAAACACAACGGATGCCTTCTGTGGTCTATTTAATTTGTTTTGAGATCTACGACACTATAATTTTTGTATGACAAAGGTAAGCGGCTCATGAAAAAAGAAATCGTGGGCGATTCGTGGCCGACTGGCCGAGCCACACGCAGGTCGTTAAAGAGCCGCAATTCGACTCGTGGGCCGAGATTTGCCGACCACTGTGCTATACACACCAAAATGGGCTACACATATCTGAATGAGATACACATATCTGAATGAGATACATATATCTGAATGAGATATACATAACTGAATGAGATACATATATCTGAATGAGATATACATAACTGAATGAGCTACACATATCTAAATTTTCTACACATATCTCAATGGGCTACACATATCTGAAGGAGCTACACATGTCTAAAGGAGCTACACATGTTTGAAGGAGCTGCACATGTCTGAAGGAGCTACACATGTCTGAAGGAGCTACACATGTCTGAAGGAACTACACATGTCTGAAGGAGCTACACATGTCTGAAGGAGCTACACATGTCTGAAAGAGCTACACATGTCTGAAGGAGCTACACATGTCTGAAGGAGCTACACATGTCTGAAGGAGCTACACATATCTGAAGGAGCTACACATGTCTGAAGGAGCTACACATATGTGAATGAGCTACACATATATGAACTTGCTCATTTTTGTGCGTCCATATCAATTGTGCCCCCCCCACCCCAAAAAAATCCCAAAGTCCCCTTTATTGGGGCGGTCTATGGCGTATGGGTATCGACTCTGCGATGATCACTGGGTCTATTTTTTGTCTTAGTGTCTACATTCTTCTACTCTTTTATGCCCTCGGATCCATCCTTTCTCATAATAGAGACAGCCGAACGATTAGGTTACTCCGCCGTCAGGGAGAGAGAGAGACTTCACCTACTCACCGCTCTCTCCTCAACGAGGCCGCACAGCAGAAAGACGCCGAAGAGACAGCAGTTGAAAAAGATGGTGATGATGGGCATGGAGACCTGCGTCACCCGCTGGGGCAGGGACTTTTTGGTGAACGACTCCTCCTCCACCGGATGGACCCCGCTTTGAATGGAGTAGTTCCCGTCGAGCAGATGAGCGATGTACGCGTTGAGGAGTAGCTGCAACTGTGGACGACGTGAAGAGAATTAAACCCAAACAGCCCCAAAGTCGATGAAAACAAAAAAAGGGGGGGGGGGGAGTGCAGCTGATGTGACAAAGACAATGATTTTACCCAAAGTCGATGAAAACAAAAAAAGGGGGGGGGGGGAGTGCAGCTGATGTGACAAAGACAATGATTTTTAACTTAACGTGGCAATTGGATTGGATGTTAGGTCAATTTATAATGTAGAGTGACGTCAAATCACGTGCTTCCCAACCCATTTTTTTTGACGTTTTTTTTTTTTCATTACGTACAAATTATAATTTTGGCCGATCATAAAGGAAGGATTGTAGCTCATTAAAAAAGTTGATCCCAAACGTTCCAATTGGTTGCTATAAATAAATTGACGATCGAAACCCGCCCCCATGCCCTTTTTTTTTATCCTAAATAAAAAATACCAAACGAGCGAGTCATTCGTCTTGAACTGTTACCTAATCTTTCCTATGTTGAAGGATATGGTACACCAACTTCCCCATACCATAGAAAGCAAAACGTTGACAGGCAAATGCAGCACGAAAGGCAAATTCACCTACAGGTTTCGCGTGGCTTTGATGTCAACAAATCGTGGAAACAAGAATTGTCTAAGCTTGAACAATGCAAGCCTAGAAAATTATGCGGCCGTTTCGGCAAGATGCCTTCTTCAGGCCTCAACGTATCTCGTTCCGCCATTTATTTACTTTACCCGGCTCTAACGGGTTGAATAGGATTATAAATGAAAGGCTGCGCTCAAGATGGATGAAGGAAATTTTTTAACAGGTATGTGTAAGCCGGAAATAGAAGGACATTGTGGAACAAGGTATGTGGAAGCCGGAAATAGAAGGACATTGTGGAACAAGGTATGTGGAAGCCGGAAATAGAAGGACATTGTGGAACAAGGTATGTGGAAGCCGGAAATAGAAGGACATTGTGGAACAAGGTATGTGTAAGCCGGAAATAGAAGGACATTGTGGAACAAGGTATGTGGAAGCCGGAAATAGAAGGACATTGTGGAACAAGGTATGTGTAAGCCGGAAATAGAAGGACATTGTGGAACAAGGTATGTGTAAGCCGGAAATAGAAGGACATTGTGGAACAAGGTATGTGTAAGCCGGAAATAGAAGGACATTGTGGAACAAGGTATATGTAAGCCGGAAATAGAAGGACATTGTGGAACAAGGTATGTGTAAGCCGGAAATAGAAGGACATTGTGGAACAAGGTATGTGGAAGTTTGAAAGATAAGGAAATTGTGGAACAAGGTATGTGGAAGTTTGAAATATAAGGAAATTGTGGAACAAGGTATGTGGAAGTTTGAAATATGAGGAAATTGTGGAGCAGGTATATCCTTTGAAATCCTTTGCGACCTACCGACAGTGCCTCTGAGTATGGTGGTTTTGCTTTATAGAGACCTACCGACAGTGTCTCTGTGTGTGTGGGGGGGAGGGGGTGGGCGTGACAGACACCCACCGACAGTGTCTCTGTGTGTGTGTGTTGGGGGGGGGGGCGTGACAGAGACCTACCGACAGTGCCTCCGTGTGTGGTGGCTTGGCGTGGTACAGAGCTATGCTGGATGTCAGATTTTCCGTCAGCACGGCTCCGACACGGACCAGAGAGTATTCCTCTTTCGACTGTAAGCTCTCCCAGGCTGATATCAAGGCCGTCACGTCCTAGCCGGTTCAAAACGGAGGTTGGTTTGAGAAATAATAAAGAATTCGTTGTGAAATTATGTGTGTTTTTTTTTGTTGTTTGTTTTGTTTTTTAAAATAGTGTAACGGATTTAGAGCTTCTTTGAATGACCTGACTCAATTCTTCAGTAGATAGTAGTTTGATTACTGTATCGTCAATCATTTTTTTGTTTTTAAAGGTGCTACATTATTTAGTGCTCGTCTTAAGGGCGTCTTTATTTTTTTATTCTTCTACAAAATTTAATTGTTAAAAGTATAAACCTACTGATGAATTTGCAAGAACCGTTGGATAGGTCGGTGGGTCTTGAATAAGAATTCGGGAAACTGTGTGGTTTAGGAGGGGGGGGGCAAATGCTCATATTTTAGACTTCATTTTTAGCGCGCATTGAACGTTTCTCCCGCTGCACGTCGCTCATAGAGATGTGCAAATGACGGGCTTTCACACAAACAAATACATTGCTGGTCTTTTCGTAAATTGTGCCTTGTTGCCTTCTTGTGTGTCATCGTCCAATACCGCCTAAGTCTTGTTAAAATGACAATCTGTTTACTACGTCATTGTCTATACCAGTAGTTCTCAACGATCCTAATGCCGCGACCCCCTTAAGTGCAGTTCGTCATGCTGTGGTGACCCCCAAACATAAAATTATTTTCGTGGCTACCTCGTAAATATGTGTTTTCCTATGGTCTTAGGCAACCCCATGAGCAAGGGTCGTTCGATCCCTAAAAAGGAGGTCGCGACACACCGGCTGAGAATCGCTGGTCTCTACACCCCTCTTACGATTGCTGAATACTTGTGTATATATCTATAAGATACGTTACGATCTATGCGCCTGTGCGTATTAAAGTTTAAGTGCAATCAATGAATCGACGTTTTTAAGCTAAACCACCCGAGCACCGCCACTGTGGACCCCAGGCAACCTACCGCATTCGGTTCGATGTCGACGATGGTGCTGAGGCCAGCCATCTGACTCCTGTAGGCGTCGACGAAGGTGGCGGGTGCGGCCGGCTCCACCTTCAGGAAGGCGACGCAGTTCCTGCCCAGGGAGAAATCCTCGGGGTCCACGGACGTGTACTGGGCCACGTCCGGGTTCTTGGTGTTCAGCGTCGTCATCAGAACCGTCGCGAGCACCAGGCCGGTCACCACCGCGTTTCTCTCGAGCAGCACCACGCGTTTGTTCAGCACGGCCTGGAACTGCAGGCAGAATTTGGACGGCGGCTTGGGAACTTTGGGGACCGGTGGCGGGGCCGGCTTGGGGGCGCTAACGGTGGGCACGGGAGGCTTAGGGGCGCTGCCGGATGCCGGAGCCGAGGGCTTAACAGCAGCAGGTGCAGGTGCAGGCTTGTGCGGAGCGGGAGGAGCTGGTTTGGGGGTCGGTTTGGGGGATTTTTGGGGGGCCGGTTTGGGGGATGGTTTGGGGGGAGTTTTGGGTGGTAATTTGGGTGGTAATCTGTTGGCATTTCGATCTTTGAGGTTTGCATCAGTCGCTGGGGATAGGAGTTTGAATATAAGTTTAAAATGATCTCAATTCGGTCTTCGTGGAGTAAAGGTAGTGATTTATATCAAACATTTTCTTAACCCAAATATTTATTTAAAATCTGTCATAAACTTGAACCGTGTAATTAACTTAAACCCTGTAATTAAGTTAAACCCTGTAATTAACTTGAACCCTGTAATTAACTTAAACCCTGTAAATAACTTAAACCCGTAATTAACTTGAACCCTGTAATTAACTTGAACCTTGTAATTAACTGGAACCCTGTCATTAACTTGAATCCTGTCATTAACTTGAACCCTGTAATTAACTTAAACCCTGTAATTAACTTAAACCCCGTCATTAACTTAAGCCCCATCATTAACTTAAACCCTGTCATTTTACTTGAAACCTATAATTAACTTGAACCCTGTCATTAACTTAAACCCCGTCATTATTTTGATACCTATAATTAACTTGAATCCTGTCATTGAACTTTGTCATATAGGTATGTAGGTATTTTAAATTATGTCTTTCAACTTAGTGCCAGGCTTGTCTTAATTGCGGCCCATGATTCTCACACACACACACAAAAACGCACTACCATTCAAGCACTATTTTGATCTGAGCTCCATTAGGCACCCTCGTACTTGATCTTAAAAACCTCATATGGTGGTCGGAGTACTTGATCTTAAAAACCTCATATGGTGGTCGGGGTACTTGATCTTAAAAACCTCATATAGTGGTCGGGGTACTTGATCTTAAAAACCTCATATAGTGGTCGGGGTACTTGATCTTAAAAACCTCATATAGTGGTCTGGGTACTTGCTCTTAAAATTTCATACAGTGGTCGGGGTACTTGATCTTAAAATCCTCATATGGTGGTCGGGGTACTTGATCTTAAAAACCTCATACAGTGGCCGGGGTACTTACTTTTTACCAAAACTGGGACTGACTCCGATGGAAGCACGCTAGTCGAAGTCTGATCTACAGGACTGCTAATCCTGGCTACTACTTTAGCCGCTGCAACCCTAGTTGGTTAAAAGAAAGTTTTGTTATAGTTTGCTCGGGAACATGGACTGGGCTGAGAGTTGGGAACATGGAATGGGCTGGGAGTGGGGAACATGGATTGGGCTGAGAGCGGGGAGCATGGATTGGGCTGCAGAGTGGGGAACATGGACTGAGCTGAGAGTTGGGAACATGGATTGGGCCGGGAGTGGGGAACATGGACTGGGAAGCAGAGTTGGGAACATGGATTGGGCTGCAGAGTTGGGAACATGGACTGGGATGAGAGTTGGGAACATGGATTGGGCTGAGAGTTGGGAACATGGACTGGGCTGAGAGTTGGGAACATGGATTGGGCTGAGAGTTGGGAACATGGACTGGGCTGAGAGTGGGGGACATGGACTGGGAAGCAGAGTTGGGAACATGGACTGGGCTGCAGAGTTGGGAACATGGACTGGGCTGAGAGTTGGGAACATGGACTGGGCTGAGAGTTGGGAACATAGACTGGGCTGCAGAGTTGGGAACATGGACTGGGCTGAGAGTTGGGACCATGGACTGGGCAGCAAAGTTGCATTAGGGCACGAGGAAGCGAGCGGTGTGAAAAGAAATGGGTTGGTAGGAAAAAAAGACAGAATGGAGCAGTATGAAAAAGCAGTAGGATGGGAGCCGTTTGAAAAAGACTGAAGGGTAAAGTAGGAAACAAAGACAGAATGGAGCAGTATGAAAAAGCAGTAGGATGGAAGCCGTTTGAAAAAGACTGAAGGGTAAAGTAGGAAACAAAGACAGAATGGAGCAGTATGAAAAAGCAGTAGGATGGGAGCCGTTTGAAAAAGACTGAAGGGTAAAGTAGGAAACAAAGACAGAATAAAGGGAGCAGTGGGGGAAAAGACAAAAGGAGGAGCGCAAAGTAACTGGGAAAATGGAAATGGTGTAAGATAATTAGACTATATAAGTATGACCATTGGAATAGGACAATAGAAATGGTGTAAGATAATTAGACTATATAAGTATGACCATTGGAATGTGACACTAGAAATGGTGTAAGATAATTAGACTATATAAGTATGACCATTGGAAAGTGACACTAGAAATGGTGTAAGATAATTAGACTATATAAGTATGACCATTGGAATGTGACAATAGAAATGGTGTAAGATAATTAGACTATATAAGTATGACCATTGGAATGTGACAATAGAAATGGTGTAAGATAATTAGACTATATAAGTATGACCATTGGAATGTGACACTAGAAATGGTGTAAGATAATTAGACTATATAAGTATGACCATTGGAATGTGACAATAGAAATGGTGTAAGATAATTAGACTATATAAGTATGACCATTGGAATGTGACAATAGAAATGGTGTAAGATAATTAGACTATATAAGTATGACCATTGGAATGTGACACTAGAAATGGTGTAAGATAATTAGACTATATAAGTATGACCATTGGAATGTGACACTAGAAATGGTGTAAGATAATTAGACTATATAAGTATGACAATTGGAATGTGACAATAGAAGTGGGGTAAGATAATTAGACTATAGGAATATACTCATTGGAATGTGACAGCCGGAATAGGACAACATGAATAGGGCTCACCTATTTAAATGTGTACGTGTGTCATCTATCCTATCCTATTTCACTCAAGTACATATATTATTATGTGTCATCTATTCTATCCTATTTCACTCAAGTACATATATGTGTCATCTATTCTATCCTATTTCACTCAAGTACATATATGTGTCATCTATTCTATCCTATTTCACTCAAGTACATATATGTGTTATCTATTCTATCCTATTTCACTCAAGTACATATATGTGTCATCGGTTCTATTATATTTCACTCAAGTACATATATGTGTCATCTATTCTATCCTATTTCACTCAAGTACATATATGTGTTATCTATTCTATCCTATTTCACTCAAGTACATATATGTGTCATCGATTCTATCCTATTTCACTCAAGTACATATATGTGTTATCTATTCTATCCTATTTCACTCAAGTACATATATGTGTCATCTATTCTATCCTATTTCACTCAAGTACATATATGTTTTATCTATTCTATCCTATTTCACTCAAGTACATATATGTGTTATCTATTCTATCCTATTTCACTCAAGTACATATATGTGTTATCTATTCTATCCTATTTCACTCAAGTACATATATGTGTTATCGATAACATGACAATACGAATAACATGTATGTAACATGGCAAGACAAATGACATGTCTGTAACATGTCAGTAGCATGAATGTAACATATATGTAACATGTCTTCACTTGCCCGGTCAGTGGATATGTTGGAACATCTTTGCCAGATGTGATCCTGTAACAGAATGGAAACAAGTTATTCACCTCACCATTGGCTTAAATAGTCACGTGGGAAGATGTCACGTGGTACGTTGTCAAGGTTATAGCTAGATCAATAGCTTTTTCAATAGGAAAAATAAAATGATTGTCTATCCTGTTTAAAATATATGTACTGGAAAATCCATTGTATGCAGTGTATCCTGATACAGAATTTAATATCCAACATGTGCAGTATATCATGATACAAAATTTAATATCCAACATGTGCAGTATATAATTACATAGAACTTAATATCCTACATGTGCAGTATATCATTACATAGAACTTAATATCCAACATGTGTAGTATATCATTACATAGAACTTAATATCCAACATGTGCAGTATATCATTACATAGAACTTAATATCCAACATGTGCAGTATATCATGATACAGAATTTAATATCCAACATGTGCAGTGTATCATGATGCAGAATTTAATATCCAACATGTGCAGTATATCATTACATAGAACTTAATATCCAACATGTGCAGTATATCATGATACAGAATTTAATATCCAACATGTGCAGTGTATCATGATGCAGAATTTAATATCCAACATGTGCAGTATATCATTACATAGAACTTAATATCCAACATGTGCAGTATATCATTACATAGAACTTAATATCCAACATGTGCAGTATATCATGATACAGAATTTAATATCCAACATGTGCAGTATATCATGATACAGAATTTAATATCCAACATGTGCAGTATATCATTACATAGAACTTAATATCCAACATGTGCAGTATATCATTACATAGAACTTAATATCCAACATGTGCAGTATATCATTACATAGAACTTAATATCCAACATGTGCAGTATATCATGATACAGAATTTAATATCCAACATGTGCAGTGTATCATGATGCAGAATTTAATATCCAACATGTGCAGTATATCATTACATAGAACTTAATATCCAACATGTGCAGTATATCATGATACAGAATTTAATATCCAACATGTGCAGTGTATCATGATGCAGAATTTAATATCCAACATGTGCAGTATATCATGATACAGAATTTAATATCCAACATGTGCAGTATATCATGATACAGAATTTAATATCCAACATGTGCAGTATATCATGATACAGAATTTAATATCCAACATGTGCAGTATATCATTACATAGAATTTAATTTAGGTTCACAGCCATCTCCGTGTAATGTAAACATTTAAGTTTCGGTCAATGTCCACAAGCTGGCATTCTTTTCATGAGCTCGTGTTTAATGTTAACTCAAAAGTTAGGTGCACAAAACTTGGCCCCAAGGTCCTTTTACCCTGATACCCTGTTATCTTGTTGCCCTGGTTCATTGTTGCACGGTTACCTTGTTACTCTGTTGTCCTATTATCTTGTTGCTCTGTTACCTTGTTGCCCTGTTACTT